ATATATACTGGGTATGAATTTTTGTATATTTTTATAATTTTGAATACCCAAATTAGACTTGATTTGACCAAAACCATATGAATGTTTTTAAACTGTGCGACTATACGACAGCGAGTTGCTTTGTCTTGTTATATGACATAACTTTGTGGCACGTGGAAACCTCATAGGTTGGCTTCGTACCTCCGATTTGCTATATGCAATGGCGTATGGAAGCAATCGCACTGTGGCCGTTTTGCACATACCTACAAAGGGTTATCATTTTCATGCATGTATACTCACACATCCCTTAAGACACTGTGGCGGGCTCCTTTGCGGATTAGCATCGATGAGCAGGTGATGCAAATTAAAACGGAACATATCATATCAGTCTCAAAACGCAGAAACAGCATGACTATCCCTCCTCATTGCGAATACGTACAACCGATAAAACTTCGATTCCAGATGTATCAAAACAAGTCGTACTTTGAGGAGGAGCGTATGCCACGGAAGGTTCTGAAACTGCGACACTATAGCAAATGTGCCAATTCAGAGGACATTCATGCAGCTGTAGGGAAGTACCCGTTCACAATCTTTCCCATCGACAATGAGACAGACTCGGAGGGTGAGTTGATTGGGTGTTCCTTGTTCACAGACCGCGACTGCATATGTGTAAGACAGCTACGGTTGATATGTTTTTCCCATAGCTCTATTTGTATATGTATTTGTATACATAGTCCCACTTCTTTTATTGTAGATACGACAAGGAATGTTCTGTATTCAATGCTCTGTTCCTAATTTAGAGAATAAGTGGTGAGCTGATTTGTTATGCGCAATGGTTGGTTCATATGTTTGTGCACTCTCTCTTCTAGATTGTACATCCATTTATTTTAAGTTTTATTCTATCTATAAAAAAAATATGTAGTATCTATCCAGTATATATCTATTCAGTATATATATATATATATATATATATATGTATATATATATATATGTATATATATATATATATATATATATATATATATATTATTACTACTTACTACTAGTGTACTACTA